CAGAAACATTCAGACTTCGGCACATTTCATCATCTGAATAAATAAGTGTGTTTGTGCTTCATTATGTTAGTAGACAAAGATGTCCCTGATTCAGTGTGTAATCACAGTCTGTGCTGTGGCAGCCGGTCCTGTCATGCGTGCACGTCGGTGAGCGCATGATTGTGCAGCACAGGTCCGTTGACTAAGCAGTATTTTAAATGTGTTAAAAAGCTCCAGAGCAGGAAAAAGTCAGAGATTATTTTTCACGTAAAATGATATTTTGTACTCAGTTATTGTTTGCCGTTTTATTCATTTGTTTGTTTATGTTTCCAGTTAGGGTTAGTGTTTTTTTTTTGTTTGTTTGTTGCTTTGTTGTATTCCACTGAATACTGGCATTTCAAAACTACATTTTGCACCTTTAGAAAAAAACATGTTTGTACTTTAAAATTTTACATTCTTCAACCATTTTAGAGATTTGAGCTGAATTTCAGTTCAAAAGCTGATCATCAAAGTCAAAAGGGGACATGTGCAAAACTCACATTTAGCATCTTGTTGCGCTGCCATGGGTCTCTACTGCCTCTATAAACACTCCAAACATGGAAATACATTTTCCACCCAGCTTCTGTTTTGGTTTGGTTTTAGGTATACTGTGCCTTTTCAAAAATCCCCTTTTGTGATGTCACAAACAAGGAAAGGAGACTGCTGCTGCTGGAGGAGCAGCAGCTGTACTCTGGATATCAAAGCTTCTCAGCTTATTGACCCTTTGCACCTATGTCACCTAATCATAAGGGTCCACCATATTGGTTGGCAAAAGCATGTAAACAGTGAGCGACACAAGTACTGAACAAAGAGAAAAGTAGCGCCTGAGATTGATTTTTGTTGTCGTTGTTTGTGATGTTTAGCATGGCTTCCACTAGTTCAAGCCCTGTTCAGTTATCACAGGAAGTAGCACACCTAGGTTGGGCAACAGAGACTTGCAGGTGAATTTAACAGAGAGGAAAAGTGGCGGCTGAGGTTGTTTTTTTACCAGTTTAGTCTGGTCTCTAATGGTTCAAGCCCAGTTAACCTTTAGGGAGGTTTAGCACACTTAGGTGGGGCTCATGGAGATATTTACAAAAGTTATGTGTTAGCTAGCTCATGTTTGTTAGCTTACGTTCTCCCTGCTGCTGTTCACCGATGTAAACAAGTTGCCAGAATTCACCCCGCTAGATTTATAACATTATCACTGTACATGGAGCTGTTGTCGCTGGCGGGGTCATCGGGTTCAGATGCTAATCTCTCACCGCAGTGAGACAAGATCTCTTCTGTGTGTTTATTCATAAATATCTTCTTTTTTCATGTCCAACAGAGCAGTAATTAGATGTTTCTTTACCTTCGTCTGACATTTTTCAGCCAGAACTTCCGCCTTTGTCAGAGCCGCAAGATGTTTGTGGCGTCACTTCCTTGTATGTAGGGGCATCAAAGGATGATGTCGCCCTCTGCAGACATCGTCCTCTGCTGCCTGCAAAGAACCATCAAGGAGATCCAGGACAACAGAGGGAGCAGAACCGGAACCAGCAATAACCCTTCCTCACATCAAAGGCATAACAGAAAAATCAGGACAGTGATGAAAAGACACAACATCAACACACCAACTAAACCTGACAGTCAAGAACCCAAAAGTCTAAATACCAGCTGGACAAAAGTACGGCGTCATCTACGAGATACCATGTAGACTCTGTTGTAAAACATACAGGAGAACCAGGACGTCAATGCAGCACATGAACATCAGAACAACAGAAAGAGTGTGAGAAAGAAACAAGACAAAGTCATACAAGAGCAGCAAAACAGGAAGTGGAAAGTTTAATGAATAAATCAGCGGTAACTGACCATCGCACAAGGGAAAATCACATGATGGACTGGGACAGCACACGGATCATAAACACGGAACAATCTAGAACATGGATTAAGGAAGCGATAGAGATAATGAGACACAGACAACACCACGAACAGAGACGACGGCGTTTACACGTTGGATCACACACGGGATTGTGTTATCAGCATGAAGGATGCGGGCAGCAGAGGGCGACATCGTCCTGGTACGTCCACACGTAAACAGGAAGTGACACCACTAACAGCTGGCGGCTCTGATGAAGGCGGTAGCTCCGGCCAAAACACGTAAAAACATCTGATAACTGCTCTGTGTTAAATTTAAAAAAAGAAGATAATAGTGAGACAAGATATGTCATAACCACAACGCTCATCAGGCTAAATAAATAACGTGGTTTTAACACATGTAATCCTACACTGGAACAATATTATTGTAAATAATTATCTCGCATTTCAGAGGACGGTACCGTGCGTCTTCCATGGTGAAATATAGGATTATCAATAAGTAATATAAACACATCACATTTATCCCAGTCCCGGATGAAACATAAACATTAATCTTAACGGTAAACATGTTTGCTGCAAATCCCAAATAGTTCAGGAACTGCTAGTTCATTTGATTCATCACTGCGGTTCTTCTCCGTTCTCCGTC